TGAATGAATGGAAGGGGGTCCTCTGTGCCCTAATCGAGCATATTTTATGATAAAGTAGTCAGTTCTAGGTGCTGTCCTGGATTTTGGGATAATGAGGCGTGAGTTATTTTGACAGGGTGAGTAAGTGATACATGTCGATAGGCGTAGAAAATCAGAGGGAAGTCATGTGCATAAGCCAGTGAATGAAGCAGAGATTAAGTCTCGTGCGCCGAAGCCACAAGAGATCTATTTTGAATACAGCGGGACGTTCCTGGTAACTCAGTTGGGTCGAGAAGCCCAGTAATGGTTTGATGAAATTGAGTTGGACTTTTTCCAACGTTGACCTGTCAATTGTACGGATATTTGTGAAGACGATGGGGCAGTATTCGAGAGAGGGTATTAAGAATGATAAGTAAGATAGGAGTTTAGCCTTACGTAGTATAAAGGTGCATTTATTAGCAGAAAACTCCAACTTCCAAGCAGGAAATCACTGTTCCAGACTGTGTAGGTCCTCTTGGATATGATGGATGACATTATTTGTTTCAGTCTGCCTAAAGTCGTAGACAAGTTTTATGTCATCGTCAAACAGGAATGGAGTTCCGCGGCGTATTGTGAAGAAAACATCATTAACATACATGAGGAATAAAAGAGGGCTAAGCACAATTCTCTAAATAACACCGCTGGTAACCAGAGAAGGTTGGGAGTTATGGCCATCGATGCTAACCACTTGCTGGCTATGCGATAGATAGGAGGCGAAACAACTTAGATTTGAGTTAATAAGCCCATATGCTTTCAGTTTGTTTAGGAGATGGTGGAGGACACAATCAAAGGCTTTGACCGTATCAAAGAAAATAACAATGATACTTTTTTGTGTCAACAGCTTTATTGATCGTATTAAGGTAATCTAGTTTGCAGGTGTTGCAAGATTTATTTTGAGGAAGCCATGTCAGCGGTTATGAATAAGGTTGAGGGACATCAGGTAATGATGGATGGGGCGGAAGTTAGAAGGGCCATTACGGGGACCTCTGTTATGACGAGAGGTAATGACGGAAGTCTTCCATTAAGTTTAAAAAAGGTACCATATTTCAGCGAAAGATTGAATGCGTTCATAAGTAAAAGGACAACGTTGGTACTATTGAGACGTAACGTTGCCGGTGGGATTCCATCACTGAAAGCTTTAAAGACGGGTTTTACTTTCAAAACCTCAGTATTCACATCGTGTAGAGAAAATTTCAAACCGGACAAGGTGTGTGAGGTTAGGGGGCGATTGGCGGTTGACGACTGTCAGAGTGGGTGGTCATGGAAGAAGCGAACAACAAATTGAATGCTCCTGCGATACTCGCGGGCGTATCAACTACTGTGCCATTGGGTAGATTTAAGTAAGAGATACCGGGTTCGGAAAGGGCATTTCTGTTTTTTATCAAAAGTTAGATAAGGGAGATTTTGTGAGGGTTAATTAGGGCAGCAGTTCATATTTTTGTAAACTCTTTCAGCGATTATGCGGTTGTTTGCTGAGAGATTGTGTAGAATCATAAGCTATGAGATATCATGCGAATTAGCGAACGAGGGTTGGACTTTTTTGGTACTTTTTGAGCAGAGCGGTTAGACTATTGGAGCTCAAACGTATAAAATGACTACGGTAGGTGGTGATCAGATGTAGGCAATCTCCGAACTTAAGATATAATACATTTGATGCCATCTGCGGGTCCTAGGTTGAAAAGAAATCATTCCAGGTGGTTTCACGCAGCAGTGGGGGAAGAAGTTCCAAGTGGAAATAGGGGAAAAAATTTGTTGGGGTGTGGTAAGATAATTTTCTTGATAAGGCTCCAGTGCTGGTCCGTTGTTGTGTTTTACAGGCTAGGGAACCACTCCGGCTCCGTGTCTTGAGTTTTAGGTCTTGCTGCATCAATCGCCCAGTAACTCCTGGGCATCCTAGTATTACTTTTATGGTACATTAGACGGAAATATGTAGTGATAACTACGTGGTCGCTTGTACCTAGCGGTGGATGGAGAGTAATACTAATCAAATCCCTCTTCCTTGTGTTAGTTATCAGGTTTCGAAGGGACGGCCTATCTCCCTCTCTGTACGTAGTGCACTCCCGAACATGTTGCAGGATTCTTGAAGGCATCCATTCCAGGAATGCGCCATCCGGTGTTCCTGTCGGAGCCATCTCAACAATGCGGTCTATTTATGGAAATTTAAATCTTCCAATATACAAACGCTTTGTGAGTGTCTGTATATGTTATCGAGGGTGCCTAGGAGTTTCTGGTCCTCCTCGGGTGTGCGTTCAAGGCTCATGTAGTCTCCTGCTATGTCAACCCTCCTTACAGGTGGAACTAAGGATATTGAGCAGAGCTGCACGTTCCTATTGCACTGCACTATTTTCGTGGTGCAATAATTCCGTATGATGTGGACAGCTACTTCCCTCCCTATCCTGCCTCTGGGTTGTGAACCGGCTTAAGACTGGTTCGGGCATGTGGTCATCCTGAGTTAACTACGTTTCGGACAGGACGTTTCGGACAACGTGCTCGCAGCAACTGTGGCTAGCTCTGCCCATTTGTTTCTAATACTGCATGCATTGGCGTGCAATAGTATCTGTGCTTCCTTGCCCCCTAGGTAGTACTTTTCACTTACTCACATTTTCTCCTCGGACAGAACACCCGAGTAGACAACCCGTTTTTTGGCTGGGCTAGTGTACAAGCCGCTGCTGCGATCACCGTTTCTTAAATTTCGGGAAGCTAGGAAAGGTAAGTAGGTCCTTGTGAAAGAAATGGCTGTTTTGAGTCGGTTTTCTCCGATCCAGTTTGAGAATCCGTTTCTAACGTGAGGTCCTCCAATAAATCCCGAATTATTACCACAT